GTAGAAAGTGAGAGACTTTGGAACATTCAAAGCCCTGTCCTCAAGGCTCAGGGAGCTATGCGGAAGAGGTAGAAAGACTGTAAGAGCCAGCCATAGTGGATGACTCCAGGGAAACAGTGTCTTTCAGACATAACAAGACGGGCACATATATGAGCTCACAGAGACTGTGGCAGCACTCAAAACACATGCACACATTCAAGCCAGATGGGCTCTCAGCACTGAGAGGTGGAAAAGAATACAGGGTCCTACCCCTAACTAAGAAGCTTTCTGCAATTGATACTGCTGACAAAGGGAGAACTGGTTTTCTCCATTGGTGTCCCATACTGCAGAGTAGAGCCCATGCTCAGGAACACAACACAAAAGGAACTCAATGGTATTTTGTGAACTTCTTGTACCATTTTGGCTTTGTGTGGCATTTTTTGTCTCATGGGTTTTTATTTCAATGTTCATTTATGGGCTTTTATGGGATTTTGTAGGATTTTTTCTGGTTCATTTTTTTTATTGAAAGGGGGAGAGAAAAATAACAAAGTTGGGTGGGCAAGGATTTGGGGAGGTCTAGGAAGATTTGGGGAAGAGAAAACCTGATCAAAATATATGAAAAAAATGATTTTTCATTAAAAAAAGGCATAGAAAGTTTTGGGAACAAATAAAATAGCATGGTTGGCTTTCATTAGTAAAACTAGGTGGGTAAGACAGGTAGCCTTTGATGGCCATGATTAAAATAGGAAATTATAAATTCTTACATTAAGATTCAAAGTAGAAAGAAGAAAAAGAAGAAATGGTGTTGACTTTGAAAGTTCCTTGAAAGATGGAATGCAGAGAGCTTCAGCACTGACAGGTTAAGGAGAGGGAGGGGAAGTGAGCACAGCCCACCTGCGGCAGGTAGGTGGGCCACAGTTCACATTCATATCAAGGACAAGGTAGCTGGTCACATTGCATGGACAGTCTGGAAGCAAGAGACGAAAGCAGCCACTTAGCTGCCTCTCTCCTCCTCCATTCATTCTGGTACCCTGTCCATAGAGTGGCGCTACCTGTACTTAAGGTGGACCCGTCCAACTCAGTTAATGCCACTGGGTGCTGACAAACTACCTGAGACACCTCAGCTCTGGTTTTGGCACTATTCTGTTCTGAGTTGCAACATGTTTTCTGTCATGAGGAAGTATTTCACTCTTAAACTGTCACAATGATTTAATTAATGAAAACAAAGACCTTTATGACTTCCTTCCAAATTGTTTAAAATTAATTTTTTCAACAACGTCACAAACAGATTCCGGTAGCTCTCCCTTCTCTGTTGTCTGGGCTCCCATCTGTATCAATCACCCTCATCACTACCAGTTCCTTCCCCAGACTCATGACTCTGGGCTCTGGAAAACAAATGTTTGTATTGTTTGTGTACAAGAAATTCTCCATATGTAGGTTTCAAATTTATGCATCTCTGCATTGAATTAAAATGTTTAACTCTTTTAAGCCTTGTGCTAAAATGTTTGATTTTGAAAATTATCATTTGTGTTACTGACAAGTTTCTTAAACAAACAAACAAACAAACAAAAAACATTCCATGAATTTAGCTTGAGATTAAGACAAAATTCGTAATGGTTTTTGAAATGACTGTAAGTATACTTTTGCCACTTTGTACTATGTACTTGTGCAAAACCATAATGTCACAATTGGTGATTTGAAATCAAAATGCCGGAGATGCTCTGCTTTCTGCATACTCAAACTCCTGAGTAAGTTCAGTTCCTTATCTAACACAAGTACACTCATCTTACTGAGTCCAATTTGTGTTAACCTTTAGTATAATAGCAAATTGTACATAAAATTGTTTTAAATTAATTTCCTTTTTTATTTATTATCAGTTATTTGTATACCTAATAATTACACATCTGGAGGCAAATAAAAATTCCTTGAGCTTAAAAAAGGATAACAGGTGGTGAAAATTTCTGATGCCTGTGAAGTACAGTAGTGTGTGAAGCCGAACCTCCTGTATTTGTAACATGGCTTCCTCCTCCTCCTCGGATAGCTGTTGTGCAGGAGTACAAGGCCTGTAGCATATGCAAAGTGTGGTGTGTGTGTGTATGTGTGGTATGTGTGGTGTGTGTGTGTGATGTCTCTAAAATTGTGTGCAGGGGGGTGTGCACCTATGTGCAACTTTGCAGATGCCAGAAGACAATAGTGTATATCCTCTCTGCCTTATTTCTTTGAAACAGGGCTCTCGCTGAACCTGAGACTAGACTATCAGAGAACAACCTCAGCGACCCTCCTGTCTATCCCTCAAAGCGTAGTGTCACAGATGCACATGGCCACCTTTTCAGCATGTGTGCTGGGGATTTGAACTCTGCTCCTCTGCTTATGCAGCAAATACTATCATCCACTAAGCAATCTTTCGCTGCCCAGATAATTCATGGTTATTTTTATTTAGATCCTTCTAAAGCCCTAGCCCTCACTACAACCCTTCAAGGTAACACCCCTATGGCAGTCAGAGGCACAGCAACACACTGCTGTTGTGGGCCAGTCAGAAGAGGAGACAGCTGATTTAAGGGAGTCCTAAGCCTGCACCGTGGGGGAGTCAGCATGTGAACAACTCACATCATTCTAGTTCCTCCTAGTAAAATGCAATGCCATCTCTATGACGACATGAAAGCAGAGGCATTGTACAAAGTGCTGTTGTTGCACTATCCTTGAACTCAGAAAGACCGCCTTTCCTGCTTGACACATTAGACGGCTACTGAACAAGCCTTCAGCTGGTAGCACACATCCCTTTGACTTCTTATGGTCATTTGCTAACGTAGGAAGAGGGTCCTTCGCATTTAAGAAATACATGTCTATGGTAAGTGTAAACTTCTTTCTATAGTTATCACAAGCAGGGGTGGAAAGCCTAGTTCTAACATTTCTACACACAGTACAGTTTTGGATTATCCACCATATAAAAACACAAGTGCTTCAGAAGATGCTACAAAGCATCAGTGTTTCATGCCTTCTAACAGTGGAGCAAGCCGTGGGCTAACTGCTGAGAGCAATCGCTTAGACATGCCGCTAAAAGCACACATGGTCCGAACTTCTCAGTGAGTTCATCAGCAATTCTACCCTACCTTGCTTCTGAGAGGCTTGCTAATCTCAGAAATCCCTTTCAGTATGCTAAGGCTTCAGCACAAAGGATCTTTTCGAAATTCACAGGGACACATGTAACTTACAGGTGCTCTATGCAGCATCTCCAAGCACCTTCCTTTGGGGATAACACTGATGTTTGATCTCTCAAGGTCAGTCAAGAAAATTCTAAAAGGAGGTATCATGGTGCTTTGAAAAGCGCTGGCTTCTATGTGTGCATCGACGGGGCAGCCAACGCGCTGGCTTCTATGTGTGCATCGACGGGGCGGCCAACGCGCTGGCTTCTATGTGTGCATCGACGGGGCAGCCAACAGCATCAGTTATTTTGGTAATTACTCTTCCCTTTTATATGCTTTGCATTACTGAAAATAGAAAGGTAATTCTGAGCTGGGCATAGTGGTACACCTGAAACTGGTACAGACGAGGACAAGGAAGGGTGAGCGGAGGTTAGGGCTAGCCTGGGCTATACAGCAAGGGAGGCCCCATCTCAAAACAAAAGCAAACAAACTTAGGATGTAGCTCCTTATGTATTTACGACTAAGCTAAATATTTTTGCTTCAATTTGAGTGGTACTATCATATGTAATTTCTGAGGTAAATCTATATATTTTCTTCAAAACTAATTGGCCAAAGAATTTTTTTTCTTGCTTTTGATACATTGGGTTAACTTGATCTCGATCAGATGCTGAAGGAATCTGCTAAACATGCTGCAGCTGTTTTTCACGACAAATAGTGGCTCTAAAATAAACCTAGACAATTCCATAGGACGTATGATCATTTTATCTTTATCTAAGTTTGTAAACATTTTTATTTTTCAAGATTTGTTTAAAGCTTCTTTACCTTAATAAGTCATGTGTATCTTACTTGACTGACAAAATGATCGAAAAGCCAGTGTGCAGGAGAAATGCCATTCTTGTTTCTTTATAAACACATTTTAATGCATTTGTAATTGCTATTGTGTAAGTTACTGCCATGTAACATACAGCGGTGGTTAGTAGTTATTGTCTATGGCATACTATGGTATAGTATGCCACTATGTAGGAATTTATATTAGTAATTTATATCAGACTAAATTATTACATTATAATTAAAATCACCTGTATTATTACCATAATCATTTAGTACACAAAACGCTAAACTACTGTGTGATACACAGCACTAATGATTAGAGACAGTCTAGGACAATGACAATGAGGCCGTTGTAGATTTACAATGGTCCACAGTAAGTTACATGGGACTCTGTGGTGGACAAAGTACCATACGAGAAAGGAAACATGGAAGAGAAGGATGTTATGTGCTAGTACCCAAGCCACTAATGCCAGTAAACGATTTACCATTTACTCTGCTGATGGGTTAGTCTCCATGCCTGTCTTCTTTCTGCTCAGTTATGAATTAACGTCTTTCATTGGACCTGATTTAAAATTTTGTACTGTTGTGTTCAAGACACAACTAGTCCACAGAAGATGTGTTTGTTTTACTAGATGCTATTTTGAAAGCATCACAAATAAGTGTGTGTTCATTAAAGACAAAGATTTTATCCTCAGACATGCACGGTTGTCATTAGCCTCTGATAATGCCACTGGTATTCCTCTCGGAGGGGAGTGGCCTGTGGATTTGCATTTGGCCTGGGAGAGGTGTGCACATATTATCAACATCACTATTGCCTTCTCTCACAACACTGTGTACTGTAAAACAATTGCCTCTATTTGTTTTTTTTGTTTGTTTTTTGCTTTTTGGGGGGGTTGTTTGTTTTTTAGGTTTTTTTGTTTGTTTGTGTTTTTTTTTGGCAGAAAGTGAGTTTACCTTTCTGCAAAAGAAAAATAGTCTATATGATATTGAGTAACAGGAAATACTGGGAAATTTCAATCAAGGAACATGGCCCAGCTAAGCACTCACATCTTGTCTTGCACGTTGCGCATCCGTTCCCCTTGCTTAAATGCCTCTCTGGCCAGATGAAGATGGTTGATGGGTTCTGCCACCCTCAGGGTAGGCTCCAAAGGCTTGTAACGCTGTTCCAAGACTTCACTGATGTCTCGGAAGGGTCCCTTAGAAGACAGGAGGACAAATGTCTCACTATGGAAGAGTCCAGACATACCGACAACTGTGATGCTGAACCTCTACAAAATATAACACGCTTATTTAACTATTTTTAAAACACCTTTTTTCCCTCAGAACTAAAATGAGCAAATTAAAAAAAGGTTGCTGGGTCCATACACCTTTAATCCCAGCAAATCTGTGAGTTCAAGGTCAGCCTGGTCTACAGAGCAAGTTCCAGGACAGTCAAGGCTATGCAGAGAAACCATGCATTGAAAGAAACACAACAAACAAACAAAAAAATATGACTCATCTTCTAGAACTGTCCTCTCTCATGAAAGTGTCTGTCTTAAGACTCTTTAAGACTTGGCAGACGTTCTCCACAATGTCAAGAAGGGTTTTCCTGTGTGGGCTGGAAAACCCACAGTCCCAGGTCACTTTACACTGTAACGTTACAGGCTCATTGTCTCCAACACAACTAAAGTATGTATATTTTTTTTTAAGATAGTAAAACCATGAAAAGATTATGAGCATTAATTTTCCAAAAGTTCTCTTATGCATTAAATAAAAGCCTTTAGCTGAGTACAGAGAGAACATCTTGTGTACTGCACAGACGCGCCACCTGTCCATTAAGAAGCCTATGCTCTTCAGCTTAGGTGGGAAATAGACGGTGGGATATCAGGGAGAAAAAACATCCTGGGAAAGAAGGACATGGGGAGATTCACCAGGAAGATGTGAGAAGACAGACCCATGGTAGCCGAGCATAGATAACCAGCCACGTGGCAGAACGTAGGCTAGAATAGATGGGATATTTTAAGTTGTATCTAGTCAGAGAAGAGCCTAGCTATAGGTATTTGTAAATATATTTTGACTCTGAGTCTTATTTCTGGGAGCAAGGGGCTGGAAGGAAGAACCATGGCCTAGCTTCAACACGTGGGCGCCAACTCCAGGGTTTCCTTATTGGTTCCCTAAGCATGGATGCCACACTGCTCATCCTTATTTTATCTGAATTCTGAGGCTCGGTGGCTCTAGTACAAGAGCACAGGCTTTCAGGGCTACAACTGAGAGGAGAGAGAGTCCACAGAGGAGCCTGTGGTGAGTCCCAGCACAGCCAGCATAGACTCAGTCCACTGGGCCTCCAGCCAGCATCACAATCAGCATAGACGAGCCAAAGGTATTTGCTGTGTCGTTTATGACACACTAGTTTCTTTCTTTTTTTTTTAACCACTGTGTTAGAGAGGAATAATACAAAATGAACAAAGATTTCTTATATTATTCCTTATTCTTAAAAATGTCTCTTTTAGATGGGTTATTACTAAGAAGACACAGCTGGAGTGTTGGCAAGCAGCGAGTGAAGACTGTGGGCTAATAAAAAGGAATGATTCACGCCTCATTTACGTTCACTTATGTTTTACATTAATAGAAACCAATAATAGGAACCAGTTACCATAAAAGTCATGGACCGTAAATAACACAAATGGCAGATCAGTAGCATCTAGTACTTTCCACAGCTGGACAGGAGGATTGCTATATTTGAAAGTAGTTAACGGATTTGTATTGGAAGTTTGTTTTTTAAAGATATATGGTCATGATTCCAATCTCCTATGAAGAAACCGAAAGTCTTAAATTGGACTCTTTTGTTCTTTGAGAAGTTCAATGGTTTAAATAATTGACATTTGGTATATAACAGGTGCCAGTCACTCTGTGGGCCTGTTTTCACTCCATGTAAGGCAGAATAAGAACTGTTAACTTGGGGTTTCCTTTAGTATGTATGGTGTAATATTCACTGAGGCAATAAAAACATGACACAGCTCAAGAGCAGCAGGAAGTCTTACTTGTTGTAAAAAGAGAATTTAAAGCGTTTTTGGGTGATAAAGACATTAAAGAAATAAAAGTTTAGACTAGATGTTGAGATTGTGACAAGTTCAGCCTCCACGAGGAGTAATGGTTTCTTCAGCAGAAGCCTTAAATCTCAGTTGGAATACACACACACACACACACACACACACACACACACACACACACATCTATCTACCTCAATCTCCCTTACTATCTCTCTATAATTCACTATAACTCAGAAGAACCTTGCCAAGTAGCAAAGAATGAAGATAAGTCCCTCTTCTGGGTGCTTGATCTGAGAAGCTTTTGGCCACCACATCAGCCTTCCTGTCTCAATCAGCTTTCTGTCTTTGAGCTCAATGGTACACCTCCTTCGTTAGTAAACCTGACATCCTCTGGTGCTTTCTGTCACCTTTAAGATCTCAGGCATATTTTGTCCCACACATTCCTCAAGTGACACAGGTTACTACACATGGAAATAACTTCAAGTTGTCATCACGTCTAACAGCCATCCTTGGAATGTGTGTACCTCTATGTCTCAACCTGATCCTATGGGTCCTTCTAGTAGTCTCAGCTGTAACTTCATGGTGTTTAATTTGCCTTGCCTCCTTCCAGGTCTCGGTTATGAAATCAAATACATTTCTGTTCTACAATAAGTGCTATTGAATAGTTTTCCTGTATTTTAAAAGTGTATATTAAAGTCTAATAGTAAAGATTTTTTAACTTAGTAGAATTAAGGTGTTAAGAATCACCTTTCAAATTCTAAATGCTGGGATCAGACATTGGCATGTGGCAGCTTTAAGTGTCCTCAATGTATAGACCCTTTTATCACTGAATAAAGGAAAATGTCTCAGGCAGTGCCTGCAAAACAGTCCTACTGTGAATAAAAAGAGAGGGAAGGGAGGACAGAAGGATGGAAACAAGACCAGCAGAAAAAGAAGAAAGGAAGAAAACTACAGAAAGATGGAAGAGGAAAGGAGTGAGAGAGAATATAATGGGGGCATGTGCAGAAGAAGAAAGACTTGAGATATGGGAGTCAAGGAGGATGGGAAGAAAAGAACAGGACTAGAAATTAAACGAGAGAAAAGCAAGAAGTGAGAAAATATATCACTAGATATATAGTATATGTTTTATAATTCACTCCAAAATGTTGTACAAATATCAGTTAATAAAATTTATTTTGTTAGTGGTTTTAAGAGAGAGAAATATGTAAGTGAAGGCAATTGAGGACATAATTACAGGGAAGAGAAATACACCACAGATAAGCAGTGAAGGAGTTTCTAACACCGTAGACCACAGGCCTTACTGAGAGACTGACTCAGTGTCAGACAGGGAAAGGTAGTTTCTAGGATGGCCCCAACAGGTCCTGCTTGGTATTCATTGTTGTGTGGTCTCTTATCCTTGACAGAAACAGGCCAACTCCTCTCAAATAAATAGAGCAGGGTAAACACCATGGAATATAAATTCTAGCTGCTGCTCTGAGTGCTTACTCTTGCTTTCTCTAGGATGGCTCCCATTGAGAGGAGCCAGGGGCCACACTGTATGGCAACTTTGTGGAGTGGACATGGAGGAAGAACAATTACATGGAAAACAATTAGCCATGTGGCTGAAGTATATCCTTGCTGTTTTATCCTTCCAGATCACTCAAATCTTCAGTAGAAGCCACAGCTTGTGGACCCCTGACTACACTCCTAAGAGAACTACTGTCCTAGAGATGCTATGGAAAGGCAAACGTGGTTTGGTTTAAGCCTTTATGTGCACAGAGACACAATACATAGAGGTTTAAAGGGCGCACTCAATCCAGCTACGGGTTGATACCAGCTGTGGCAGCTGCCTTCTGCAGTTGAAATATTGAAGGGTTAACAAAGTTGTCCCTTTTGGGGACTGTGACAAATATTCTTTCCTCTCTCCAAGTTGACCCTGCAGCCCAGGAAGGACTTTTCCTACCCAACTCTATCACTCTCCAGATACAGTCAGGCTTCCCTGCCTGTGCTGTGAATCTCTGGAGTGTCTCCAGTTCTCAAACTGGCACTTTTTAACTGGTTCAAATGCAAGTCCCATTTACAATGTCACATAAACTATATGTATCATTTGAGAACAGGTTATGTCAAGTCATCGGGATAGCACATAAACACATCTCTAGCAATAATAAAGTATAGCTATTGCCACCATAACAATTCTTATAAAACAGTCCAGCATCTCATCAACAGTGCATGTTCTAAATACATACTCAGTATGATGTCCAGTACCAGGAGACCACTTATGTCGTAAGTCCACACTCAGTACAATGTCCAGTACTAGGGGATCACTTGTCAACTTCTCTGGCAACCACTTCAGATTGACATGTTTCTTATTTAAAGTTATCTTTATGAGGAAAAAAACTACTCTCAAAAACAAAGCATTGTTAATCATACAACACCATGGCAGGAGAAAAAAGGCCTCCTACAGGATGGGAGAAAATACTTGCATGCTGTTTCACTTCCTGGTGTGTAGTCAAAAACATGCTAGCATGCTCCAGAGGTGATTTTTTTTAATGTAGCTAACATAAAAGTGATCATATCTTTTGAGTCATGATTGGATAAACAGTTGGGTATACACACACACACACACACACACATACATATATATGATGGAATTAAAAAGGAATGCCATTCTGATATAATCTGACTGACCTGAGGGACACCATGATAAGTGAAACAGGCCATGATGGGATGTTGGAAAAAAGAACTAGTGCTTTGAAGACACCAAGGTGGCCAAGACAGTTTGTTCATGGAAACAGCCAGTAGTGTTCAGCCAACAGTATTAACTACCCTGATGCTACAAAAATGGACAATGCATGGGTATTTTGGGTGATGTTAACAAATGTCACAATACTCACACTTTACCACAGTCAGAATTGAGGACAGTGAGGATAGAAAATTAATGACAGATTCATACAGGGCTGCTTGGTACCTGACACCGCTTCCTGTCGATAGGCGGCAGACTTGCCGACTGGGGGAAGGAGCGGGCACTGGTACATGCCAGCCAGCCGCTGAGGCTCCGGGAGTTCTTTGCTGCAGTGCCCTTCTGGTGACCCAAAGGCTTTGCTTTCTGCAACCGGAGCTCCCATGGGTCAGGATGCTCTTGGAAAGGTGAGTTGTATATACCTGAAATCTAAAGAACACATTTCTTTAATTTACATATGAAATTAAATTTTCATTCATTTGAGGGAAAATATTTTAAACTACAACTTTGGTGCTTAATCAGGGGTAAGTTTACCAGAGGAGAACTTAGAAAACACTGGCCCTTTGTATCCGGTTTAGACTAACAAACAATCTTAGCAACTTTGTTGATTGCAGAGTAAATGTGTTTTGAAAACTCAGTCTGAAATTGTATTTCAGGAAAAAATTAGTAGAGATCTTTAGTCATTCATTTTGTATTCTTGACATAAATGATGTTTTAAGCTGAGTTAGAAAGCCATACTTTTATTTACATAAAGATACAATGTGTTCTAAGCTGTATCGGAAAGACATTCCCTCATTTACATAAAGGCAAGCAGGCAATGTTTGAACAAATTTAGGGTATTAATTATGTACGCAATAAATACTTGATTATTTGAATTGCTGATCATCATATCCCCAAAAGATGTTTTTCAATGCAATGTTTGTATTGATTCTTTGGGGATCTGACATCATACAGGCCAGCCCAGCACACTCAGTTTCCAGTCCTTCAGTGTCTGCCCTGCTCCAGCCTGTGACCTCCCCCCAATAAACTAAAAATAAAGAAGTCCAACTTGTGTTATCTATATACTCAATACAATGACGTCAAACTCTCAGTGCCTTGCCTCTTACATGGAACGGAGTCCTTCCCCTCCCATGCCTCTGCCAGAAGCCATCAGTGTGGAAAGCTACATTTCAGCATCCTTATTACACTTGAAGAGTTCTCTTTGCTGGTTTCCTGTCCAGGCTGTTACTTTCAAAGGTGGGAGTTGTTACAGAAGGCTTCCATATCCCTTTTTCCCAACTGTGCATCTGTAGTCATCAATATCACTGGTAATGTAGTTTCCTTGCTTGTTACAGTCAGGGGGAGCGTGGAACATGAGGTTCCAAACCACGAAGATGGCCTCCTCCTGAAGTAGGAAAATGGACCCAAACAGGGTCCTCAGAGGCAGCCTGGACCATGAATATTAGCAGGGCCTCAGGTGGCTGCACAGGCCATTCACATCAATATAGCCTTAGGTGATAACATGGGCCATGGAAATCAGTAAGTCCCTAGGCAGTTGTATGGGCCAATCATTTCAACATGGTCCCCGGAGGCAGTGTGGCCCACAATATCAACATGGCTTCAGGCAGCAGCATGAACCACGAATATCCGAGTGGCCTTGGGTGGCAACATGGGCCACAGACATCGACATGGCGCTCTGCTGCATCAGGGCCACGGACTCCCATGTGCCTCTCAGCAGTTGCATAAAGCAGGGACATCAACATGGCTTCAGATGGCAGGACATGCCACTCATATCAACATGGACCCCCAAAGCAGCAGAACCCAAGGCCATCACCAAGGCTTCAGTCAGTGGAATAGACCACATATTTCTACATGGATCTCTGGTTTTATCATGGCCTGGGACAGCTGCGTAGATCACAGACACTAACATGGCTCCATGTGGTATCATGTGGTCTTTTGAGGAGGTCCAATCCGGAAAGTGAACCATTTCTATCTCGGGAATCCATCATTGCCCAGAATCAGGGTGCTACTGTAGCCTGGTAGTGTGGTGGGGGCTGAGTGTGGATCTGTATAAGCTTCAGGCTGTCGCACACCACCCAGCTGACCCCATTGGGTACTGAGCCACCCTCAGCCCTCTCTAATACCTGTCTTCAGTTCCCCTGTATGCACAGCACATGCGCAGCTCCCCATCATCCATGCATTCCTTGGAGTGGCGCATACCCTACACAAGACAGGGCTTTGTGGCCTGGCTGGCTTCTGCCTCCCTCCCCACGTGAGCAAATGGAGTCTATTTTGAGTCTTGTACTTGGCTAATAACTCTGATTTCATACCCATATGGGATACTTTTTATCACTCCAAATCTGTGCACTTAATGTCACATCAGGTGCCCTCGCCACTCGGTGGCTGACTCTGTCGCACATTGCATCAGAATAGCCGAGACTTAGCACAGCATCTGCCTTGCTATACGGGCTCACAGATGCATGTGTGAGAAACGAGAAATCCAAGTGCAGCAGATGTCCATTTTCTATAAAACTCATGGTACTTGAGTCACAGACTGAAGAGTACCCTACTTTGATGTAACTGTATTTGGTGATATTTGATTTCCAGAGATTCATAATCAAAATACATGTGCATGTATATACATGTACATGTATAAATATCCTTCATGAAAGTGAGTACATTTGTAGGGAGTACATTTGTGTGAGTACATTTGTAGGGAAAAGTGAAAAATTCCAGAATGAAATGATTGGTGGCTTTGTAGACACTGAACTATACAAAGAATCTTATTCCTAAAAGAAATAGACTTTTCTTTTATGCTGTAATTAACCCAGAAACATTCCTGATTACATGTTTTCTCAGGGTCTCCGATAGTACTAGCTAGGACAGATGTCTTTGAAAAACTGTCCAAGAAGGCTGGAGAGATGGTTCAATGGTTCTCTTCCAGAGAATCCTAGTTCAGCTCCCAATACCCACATGGTAGCTCACACCTGTCTGTAACTCTTGTTCCTGGGGATCTGACACCCTCACATAGACATACATGCACCTCACATAGACGTACATACAGGCAAAACTCAATACACATAAAATAAATAAATATTTAAAAAAGAAAAGAAAAGCTGTCCAAGAAAAGCCTGACACTTCAGGCCGACCCTTCAGCCAGTGGTGATTCCTGTCCTTCGCCTCCCAGCCTTGTTCCCAGTTCTTCCGTACTAACTTGGAGGTACCACTTGGCTCCATCATGATTCTAAGAACTCAAAATTTCAGTTCTCCGCAGCAGCCAAGTGGAGAACAGGGACATGTTGGGTATGCCGGCAACCTCAGGATACAAGCTACAGGGCAGACACTCCAGAAATGAATCTAAAAATCAGCCTAGGCAGCAGTACACCATTTAGAAAGGTGCATTGCATACTGCTGATTTACCTTAGCTTCCCAAGACACCAAAGGCACACAACCACAGACCTGAGACCAAAGGGGTCGGTAGAGGTGGCCCCTTTTGTCTAAGACATTGTTTTCACTTCCTTTCTAAGACTTTGCTAAGGTCTGCTTGAGTTTAACTTTTCTACTTTCAATTAAAGACTACAATTTATTGTATATAAAATAAAATTAACACAGACACACTTTATGTCTAAAGCTATTTTCACATTGGTTCTTCTTTGATATCTATTCCTTAATATGAGTGATACTGTGTTTTAGAATGAGTAAAATATCCTATTTTTTAAGTCACAAAAGTATTTTAAGGTGATATACTTCTGCTATTCTAGAAACACAAAGTGGACAGACACATGAATAAGGCCGAGAAACATCTATCTGTGTGTTTATCTGTAATGGCTTTAGTTTAGTGGCCACTCAACTGAGGGGTAAGTCTTCAGACGGTTCTTAGGGTGATTTTCTAGGTCAAAAATGTACTGAGGAATGAGAAGGAACAACCAACGTTAGATTAAAAAGATGATCTTGACAAAAATAACTACATCATATACTCTCTGCAAAAGATACAAGAAATACCATTTAGGATTGTGAGAGTCTAATTGGAAATCTGTTAATTTATTGCCCAAATTTCCACCACTTTATAGATTAAGTTGTGAGATTCCTACAACTTAGTTAAAGGTTGTAATTTACCATTTAAAATCTCCATTGGCCTGAATAACTGCTGGCGTCTGTATTAACTTTGCCCATTAGGAGCCCTGATCCCCTCCTGCATTTCCACGCTCGTGTATATATAGGCAAGGTGGGAGATGCAAATAGACTGAGAGACATGATAGCTTTCTTAAATTATACTTTGCAACTATATAGAGACCTCCTCATGTGTATTCTCTTTGCAATTTAAATCAAATATAGATAGAAAATACATTTTAATTGAATTTCAAATGTATCATTTAAAATCTTCAAGGTGTCAGGATTTTAGAAATTAATATATTAGCTAACTTACCTCAGTAAAAGCAGTTGCCCCCATGATTCCTCACAGCAAGCCAATACCCTACTTATTGCTAGACTAGCCATTTACTTATTGTTTCTTTAAGTAAAACTCATAGATGTATGACTGTCTCGACTTCCCCATTCCATCATCTACCTGGTTAAGAAGAATGTTTTGCCGTGAGTCACAAAGCCCCAGGCACCCCACCCCCAGGTTCTGTGCTATAGTTTCTCCTTTCCCCATTTTTCACAGCCTGGAAGGGCCACTGCCATGCTAGCTTTGGGGACTTTATTTTCAGCAATAATTTCCTAGAGTGACCAACACTATGGGGAAATCTGTGCTAACTGTTTGAAAAAGGAGAAAGAAAAAGAAAAAGCCTACACCTGAGTTATTTGCAGTACTGTCATGCTAACATTCAACTCAATAAGACCCAGAGCTCTCAGGGGGGGACTCTGCTAATAGCTTCCTACTGACCTCCTTGCAGCAGGCTGGGCTGCTGCTGACTGGTGGCCCAGTGGTGAAGACCGCAAATGGGGTGTGAAGGCTGATTTTTTTTTTTTAAAGGCTATGATTCTGAGTGGCCACAAAAGAAAAAAATAGGCAATGAGTTATATAATAGATATATTTTTTTCCTGAATTCCCCCCTCAGACCGTCCATCATGGGAATTTAAGCGTGACCTAGAATATTAATTATGTCGGGTTGAGCAATGAGCAAATGTACCGTTTGTTACCCAGTCACCCTTAGCCTTACATTAATATTTTGAACTATTCCATATTTCTAACAATCTATCAGCAGGCTTTTTTTCTCCTCAGTTTTCATGCTTATGCTTAAGTGCTAGATGGGAAAGGATTTAAAGGTGCAACTGATTTGAAAGCAAAGAATGTGCTTGCTTCCAGGAGTACCTGCTGTGCTGTCTTGGCTGTGGGATGCAGCTCCCCTACACAGACCTTTGTTTCCTGTGTGCCTGAGGGATGCTACAGTCTAACTTGTTCTTGTTTCATTGTCATTGAGGTTTCCTCTCAGAGCTCATTTCTGTCA